TGGAGTAAAGGAAACGGGCATAAACACGGAATTGTTCTTTTTTATTTTCTTCTTCTCTTCATGGGTGGGGATTCTTCTTTTTCCAAACCAACTTCATTTGTCTTCTAGAACATTTTTCTAAAGCCTCAAGTCAAGACAAGACATTGGTAGTAATTCAAACTTACCATTTCACAATTCAGGTTTTTCCATGCGTGATCTTGCCAGTGACTGAGGGAGCTATCTGAGTGCTAATCTAAGGCGACGCAGCTTGATGAATCCAGACCGGGCGACGGCGGATGACATGTCATCAACCCCACGTGCGGGTGTCGTTGAAGTGGTGTGGTCGGGTGAAGTGAGCCGCCCCGGTCCGGCCGCGCCCCCCTCACTCACCCTTCCAACCTGCAGACGTCGGTCGGCGTTGGAGCTGATTGCTGATGGTGTCATGTGAACCTAGTTAGACCACACCCTCCTTTCGGGACGCGGCTGAGGGAAAGGATTTCAGAAACCTTAAAAAACCTCACCTCATCCATCATCACCTGGTTCTTTTGATGAGTGAGAACCACCACCCCGAAATGCAGCGCGCGCACCTGCGACTGCCGTAATATGACGACTGCTATCGACGTCGGTGCCGACGAGACGCGCAAGGTCGCCGCGTTCCTTGCGCGGTGCGGGTTGAGCGCGGAGGAGGCGGTGCCGCGGATGCATGAGTTCGCGAGGGGGCTGTTTCCCGGGTGCGAGGTTGTGGTCGCGCCGTTTCAGGGGTATTGTTCTTATACGCTCCTGCTTGTTCCCTTGGGCCAGGACGGGGAGGAGAGGCGGGATTCGGGGTGCGAGATTGGCGATGAGAGGTTGGTGCAGTTCAGGCCGAGGAAGCACGGTATTGACGTCGGGATGTGCGGGGAGGCGAGGAAGATTCTGGGGGGAGGGGTTGGGGTGCCGGTTGTGCAGGAGCTGGGTGTTGTTGAGGGGGAGTTGGTTGGGTATGTTCTTGAACGGGTCGGTGGTGTTTCTCTTACGGAATTGAAGAGGGCAAACGGTTTGAAGGAGGAAATGCGGAAGAGGGTTGTGAAGGACCTCGCGGGGATGTTTGCGGATTCGTGGAGGGGGAGGAGGGATGCTGCGGCGGTGGTGAAGGGGAAGATTGGTGGGAGCTTGCGGTGGAGGTTGGATGTTATGGTGAAGGGCTTGCCGAGGGAGATTAGGGGTGTTGTGAGGAGGGTTATGAGGGAGATGGATGAGGTTGAGGGGCTTGGGTGGGTTGTCACCCATGGCGATCTCGTGTCTGACAATATCATGGTGAAGGGTGATGGGAGCGTGGTTGGGCTTATTGACTGGGCCGAGGCGGAGTGGTTGCCTTTCGGGGTGGGGATGTACGGGCTTGAAGAGGTCCTTGGGGAAGATGTCATTGTTGACGAAAAGACTGGGAGGAGCAGATTTGAATATTACCCCGAAGCCAGAGAAATGAGAGACCTCTTTTGGGAGGAAGTTGGAAGAGTGGTTGACGATGAGGGCGTTTTGAAGAGGGCGAAGTGGGCACAGATCTTGGGCGTGCTGCTATGGAGAGGCATTGCGTTTGATGATGGGGACTTGGGGAGAGTTGTGGATGAGAGGGACTGGTGGGACTTGCAGAGGTTGAGGACTTGGTTGTTCGATGAAAGAGGATTGGGGATGAGGGAGAGGTGGTGGGAGAGGGTCTGGAAAGGTGTGAGGGAGTTGATGAGTTGCCTGTGATGAAGTAATGAGAGACTGCTGTGAATAATGAGGCGTATATACGAATAATACTAGAGACGACGAACAGAGAGGAAAGGCATCCGTTTGAGGTCGACTCGTACTAAACTACTCACTGAGATTAGAACATTTCCTTTGGCTTCTCAGAAGAAACCACACATACGACACGGATGTTGCATTGGTGCCTGCTTAGAAGCTTCATGAAACGTTTCGCTATCCCTTTATATCTTGACATAAACGAGGCTAGAGAGACTGACTGCACATTTCCAGTCACTGCCAGCACCTTTGGCATAAAAGTATCGTCCAGCAGTCATGAGATCCCCTCGTCAACCAGCCAATTCGCTGTATCAGCCGAACGATATTCCCAGAGTACTTGCGAGCCTTACGAGAAGCTCCTGACGCCGTTACGATGATAACAGGTATTTGGCACTATTTCGGTAACGATTGTTCCTGCTCCTCTCCCTCTTCAGATTATTCATACTTCGATAACACATAGTTGACGGACTGTGACGAGTGCTCGTTGGCTTAGCCATTGCAGTTGCAGCGTGTATCAGACACCCTTCGACATATCTAGATACTGGCACATATCTGGAGGTTGATGGAGCGATTCAAGAACGATTGTTGCCGAAGCTTTCCAAAAGTCTCAGGGGCTGTTTTTAGACTAAATGTCACATGGTCTTGGCGATGAAGCCTGCAAACCTCCCAACTTACACCTAGAGTTATCATCGCTCTCCTTTACATGGCAGACGTCCCCATGATTTTAACTGGTAGTCTAGCAATAGAGTATACCCACAGGATTCTGGATGCAAGCCCATGCATGCCACCGGAGTTGGCCGCGGTGACGCGTGCAACACACCCACTCGGTGTCGCATGCGTCTTTCCTTGCGATAGCCAAGCTATATAATCTAGAGCAGCTTTCTGCACTTCGGGACGTTGGCGAAGGTGTACTAGACGCAATCAATGATGCATGATCCCTTCATGCTGTAATAGCTTAAATTATGGGTTTGGCCTGAATCGTTCTCGGTGCTGCCGATGTTGGCTCTATAAATAGATAAAGTAGCAGCCAGTATCTATGTATAAAAGCAGCGCTTGAATCTCACCCCTTTTTCACTTATGAATACGTTTAAATAAATTACATTCAACTCATTATATCTTTTAAATTCAGTAGCGCTGTCGCGGGCGGGCGTGTGATTTAGAAATTGTAAGCACGGTTTGTTGGGACCTTCACATTCACAAAGCGTTCGCCAATGAAGTCATGATCACTGAAGAGTTGTTGCCATTTGTGACCAAAAGGATATCGTTTATTAAAAAGAAAACACAATGAACTAGGTTTCTCGTGTTCTCTATCGTGCCGTCCATTACTTTACATGCTGTAGTCTGTGAAGCAAAGGAATGATCCTGGTCAACATGTCTTCCGTCCATATTACTCGTCTGTGTGAATGCCATCTTCTGCTTCGTAAAACGTGTATCAGCGTAGAAGTTGTTCTAGTCTTGCCCGTCCCTCGAATATATAGTCTAGCTGCCATTCTATCGTACATGATGCCTCCCCATTATTTGTTGTTCGTGTGACGCTGCTTAGCTGCTGTTCCTTCTTGAAGACATGAGATTTGCCTCGGTTTAAGCGCGGCCACACCGGCTTTTGTTACAAATCGAGGACAATATGGGCAGACTCGGCCAGAAAGATGGCGCCGATGGACACAAGACTGAAGAGAAGCGCGTTCACGATTGGCCTTGTCTCCCATCGGATCATCAAAGCGTACATCGGCACACGTATCCGGCCGTCACGCTTTTCGATTCTGACAAACAAGCTTTCGTAGAGACCAAAGAGGCAGTTATAGCATGACCAGCACATGTGTTCGGGGTCTCTCAAGGCCGCCGTGAGCGCCTCATCGCGGACGGCATTCTTGACGAGAGCTTTGGTGGTTGGCAAGCTGTCGAGGTTGGGTACATTAATGTCGTGTAGTGCCACTCGGTAGACTGTCAGCTCTTGTAATTTAACATATGTTTGAAAGAACCTTCCGAATCGAGTGAGGTTCCGTTCGTAGGTGTCACGAAGTGTTTTGGCAAAAGTCCGCGAGTCTTTATCTGCCGGTATGCGGACTGTGAAAGCAGGGGTGTTCCCAAGTCCCAAGGACTCGAGAAGAACAAGACAAGAGCGTATGTGTCTCTGTTGAGTGCGAGAGTGCACATCTCGTGATTGTGTGAGGCGCCAGTGTCGGTCATGCAGGTAAGAAATCTGCATGATGAGCAGCTCAAGATTGAACCTACGAGGTCGATATTCGTGCAAGTTGAGGAAGTTTCGTGGCCCATCCTACAAGGGGGTATACAGTAGGTAAATCCAGTAAGAGCACTTCGCTGATATTCATTCATGTGGTGCTATTATGAGTACGAATACGTCATAAAACCTGTGAAGCTCCTCCCCAAAGCCCCATCCCCCAGCCCCGACAAGGGGCTTGAAGATTGCAAGCGATTGCGCAAATGGTTAGAGTCCTTTCTTAGGTTTGGTGGCGCTGCGTTTGTGCAGCCGCAACTGTTCCCTGCCGCACGACTTCGACACAGTCACTGCGGCCGCAGGCAATGTGCAAGGGAATCGTAGCATAATGGATGGGTTTCGAGGAAAACGCTGCTAGCCCAAAAAGCCCAAGAGAATGCACCCTCCATTATTTCTCGTCAAGAAGGCTCAGCCGACCCTCGGTGTCTACGTTGTAAGGCTACTAAGCTCCTGAGGATCGCAGAGCCCTAGTGATCCATCTCTGAGTGCTGTCTTCAACCAATCGGAGATCAATCATAAGCTGGAACACCGTTGGTTGGTGAACGATGGCCAATTTTTCGGAATGTTTGTGTATATCAGCCTGTTAAGTGGAAGAAAATCTCGCACTATGGTTTATTCAGAGCAGCTCCAATCATTGAAATAATGAAGACTGCATTTCATCCTCTAGTTCGACGCCTCTCAAAGCTCAATACTGGCCATGGGACTGAACACTGAATTAGCACCTGTTATTCCTGGTTATCATAAGCAGCATCACGATGCTTAGTAGGCATCTATCAAAGTATAAACAGAGTTTATATATGGTGGCGCAAACCTCCACAAACTGGATGTGGCTGGGCCCAAAAGGTAGAAGATGAATACGCATTTGTTAAATGAGGGTAACCTTGAACTCTTTGAAGCTGATGGTGACGAATCGAGTCATCTTGAGATGTCTAACTTAGTAGGTTCAATAACACTGCCTTTAATGTAACTACATCTCGCCTCTCGATCGATCTCAATCTTCATGAATGTTTTTTACATCGTATCATAGCTTGGCCGGCGTTGCGAAGCTATCCAATTCGATATTCAAAACAGTTGTCATACGTGAGCAAGTGTAGTAGAAGCCCTGATAAGTCAGTAAGAACCTGTGACAGATGGAAGCTGGAACCTTACCTGAAGGGTGACCAGCTCCACAATCTCACGATCCGAAAGCTCGGCCTTTGCGCCCGCAAACACCTTGTCATCCACCTCAGGGCTCTCGACGACAGCCTCAAGGAACACCAGCAGCGCCCTCTCCTTCTGCGTGAACAGATCTTTCAATTTTTCAGAACTCTCCTGTCCTGCTAAGAAGCCCTTCTGCTTTCCCGCCTGGATGAGAACCTCGCGCTGCGCATCGGTCACGCCCTCCTTGGTCGACCCCGGGACATGGTGCGAGAATTCGTACGTCGACCTGAACTTTGCCGTGCTGAGAAGGATCGCCAGTTCTCGGTTCTTGTTGGAAAGTTCTAGGTTTTTAAATTGAGCTGCGCCGATGCTGCCCCAGTGCTTCGCCGTGGCCGGGGCGTGGGCGAATTGCTTGAGGACGTTGAGGCCCTTGGCTTGGGGGTCGGGAGACGGAAGGCGTGCCATGTTCTTGTGCAGGTTTCCTGATAGAGCAAATCAACATGCAAATTAAAGAACTCAGAGGTTTTTCAAGAACAGTTGCGCGGTGGTTCTGTTTAGTAAACCACTTGAAGTGTGTAAGCCAGCCCCCGAGCCCGAGTGCCTCGGCAGCCCCACTATTTACCGTTGATCTCCGCACGAACTTCGGACCTCGGCTCCGAGTGGAGACGCCGGGGTTCGACAAAGACGGAGTTCGACACTCCCGGGAAGTCCGCAATCCTGGCCGCATGTCATATCTTGCGGCGCATGTATGAGGAGCATTGATCATAAATGAGCTGCCGGGGAGTTTCGTCTATTTCTATTGCTTGCACTGGCAGCCGCAGCGGTAGTGTTCAAGTAAGATGCAACATGGCGAAGATTTAGTATTGCCCTTAGGCCATAGCAGTAAGCATTATGATCATATTCCGTATCTTCGCACCAGCTGTAGTAGTTCATTTAACACATTGCTTCCCTCCAAAGCGGTCGTTCCGCGTATAAACGAGCTCAACCAGATTTTAGCCACAACGCAATGTCCTCCATCCCTCTTTAAACAGTCGTGCCTGAGTCGATCGTATCTTGAAACTGGATCAACCACCAAGAGGTTTTGTCCGAGATCATATTTGACCTCATCACCAAATGGCAGCGTTTACCATTCAACGTGATAGGTACGAATAAGCGGCCAACAGGAATGCTGACCGATGGCAGAGGCAGCCGTTGTGCTCAGCTGATGATGAAGCATATTTCACATTCTACTTGTGACGGACTACAAACGTGTCCCCGACTCATAAGGCTAGAGATTGAATTGATCTGATTCAATTCACATTGGCTCTGATCTTGTTCATGTTTCAAAGCTATACGATTTGGAACAACTCATATACTTGTTGATGACTGTAGGTCATCTTTCCTGCTTCAGTGGTGCCCCATTGTGGCAAGGCTCTAGTGCGCGGGATGATCATACTTCAAAGTGGAATTTGAAGTAGAGCATGAGCTTTAGTTCAGAGATAATTTACTGTATCTTCACTTGCGTTGATTGTTACGTTGCAAACGAAGTCACTCACAACCTGTGAGAATCGTGGCAACTTATCAAATGGTTTCAAGCTTTGTGAAGACCTTTCAGAGATTTCTAGTTGATGGATCAAACCTGAGAACCCTTCATTCACGGTTATAGGTAGCAATCTGGTATCTGCTCGCGGCTTCGGTGAGATCCACAGGATAGTCTCAAATGTCTTGAACGATAACGGATTCACAAGATTGTGAATTCGCAAAGCTCTCATGATATCATTTTACTTCTGTGAGGGGCGGAGTTGTTACTTCCCCAGCATCATTTCAAAAGGGACCTTTCAAATGGCGCTGACTCGCCTCCATAAGTTCGTGGGCCTGATCCAGTCTGTTCAAACACACACTGCGCAGCTGTCTTCAGGCAGAGGACAACGGCTTCTTCGTCTTCTTCCTCCACCATCGTCGATCTTCACGAGCCCGTGAGAGGGAATCGTTGAGACGCGACATAAGAGCAGGCAATGCAATGCCTCGCATTTATCACAGTCCATCACATACCAGTCTCCACCGATGGACGTGTTAATCGAACGAGGCTCTAAGAAACCAAGACCATCGCCGATGTTCCTGCCAAGATGTGCCGAAGCCGAAATGATCAGGAACGCGTTCAAGAGGTGGAGCTATATGAGAACTCTATGCCGTCTCTCGACGAGCGAGAAAGGCTTCCTGATACGGCAAGTATTAGTTCCAATGCCAGTAAGAGACGCCGTGGGGATGAAGGAGTGGCTAAAGTGGATCAAGTAAGCGGGAAAGGCGGGACATCGGAACCACTGAACACAGGTCTTGGAACCCGGCGAGGATCATGCGTCCGCTGCAGCCGATGTTTGGTCGAGGGTCCATAGGTTCACTTGGGCTTTCGGGCTGTTTCGTGACGATCCTCCTGGTAGGAAGAAGAGAGTTGCAGACAGTCGGCCTGGCTGATCGAGAACGCAGCACGCGAGACATTACCCGGGAGGAGAGGTCACGACTGAGTCAAGCGCGGGGAGCAAGCAGCTGCGAGGCTCGCGGGGGAAAATAGGCTGTGTCTGAGCTGACTGAGCGAACTAGTGGCTCGAAAAGAAAAATGGTTGGGAGTGAGACCTGCATTCAACAATGAAGGCATGAGATTCCTGTCATTGATGCAGCTGTTGGCTTCCTTGGTCAGCGTATGGATCCAATTAGTCAACAGGTAGGATTGATGTGCCTCGGTGAGGGATTTTCCATGACCGGCGTTATTGGCTTTCCCAAGCAATCCGAAGGCAGCTAATAGTCCGAGAGGAAGCGGCACGGAAAGCGGAAGAGCAGAGGTTGAGCAGGGAACAGAGCACTTCCATGGAACCACCTTAGTGAACGACATGAAGAGGAAAGAGTACGTACCGTCGGATCCATCACAGCGCACAGACACAGATTAAAGTAAGGTCGGTGCACTGGCGCACAGTCCTCGGGCTTAGGACGAGATGGCACGATGGCGCTACAGGTGGGAAACACGAGGTGTGGCTGCTCATGGCAGATGTCACGCACTTTTCACGGTAGTCTTCGAGAAACATCGGAATAAACTGCGTCGTGGCTGGTAAGAAGGAATCGGGCGCTGATGTTGGGGCACCATGCCACGAAAAGGTAGAGTTTGGAACGCTAAAGAGGTTGGAGTTTAGGGCGAGGGGTATTGTGCCGGGAGGGGCTATGGGGCTACGGATACGCTATGGGGCATTGAGGAGGGCCATCACGATCTGCGGTGACAGTTGGATGCAAATCCCCCGCCAGCAATCCCCGCCGAGTCTTATGCTTATTCTGTCCACAAGACGTTTTGTTTCCTCTGTTCGCCCCAGGTCTGTTGCTCGTATAAGCAATTTGGACATGCAGCCCAGTGCGTTGTGCATGGCAGGAAAAGCACATCTTGTTCGATTTGCATGTGGCTTGCATAAAGGCGTCTGGAGTCCAGATGCTTTTCCCTCTCACTGCAGAGTGCGGTCAACGGAACTGCTGGTCTTTGGGGGCCGGAAAGACATGCCAAAAGCTGCACACACAACACACAGAGGGAGGTCGGGAAGCATGAGATGGGATGAATGTCGCATGAGAACCGGGACAGCAGGATGCATGGTTGAGATGGCAACCACCACTTCGCTCAGCTCAACCTCTCTCTCTTACCCACGTCCTCTGTTCCTCTGCCCCTCTCCTCCCGCCGTGGTATTCTCTCCTCATCCTCGCCCATCCCGCCCTTCTGGTTCGTTCGCTCCAACGTTCTCAGGTTTCTCTCCGGCCTGTTCGTCACTTCTTACAGGCTATTCCCGCCCTGGTTCCAATATTCCATGTATTCCCCACACCTCCAGTCCGTCTTCCCACGCACACCATCACGCCCACACCGACAACCGTAGGCGCCACAACCCACATTGCCCGCCCTTGTCCCCTTGCCCGGCGTCGTCCTCTGCATATTCAACCTGCAGCCAGTTCCTGATCCTACCTCGCCCTAGGCATCTGTGCCGCTCCCGACGAAGCCATCATCGCACCAGCCATCGAAAGCCCGCTGAAAGCCTGCCACGCCGCCCCGCCCCGCCATGCGTGCTGTCGCCCTTCCTTCTCGGAGAGACTTGGTCACAACAACTGACCCTGTTGGTGGTGTCGACCGACTATCCAATATGCCACCGCAGTCTTGTCAAGTGCCCTCCGGATATGAGATCGGAACATTCGGGTGTCGAGCCTTGCCGTGGACAACATATTCAAGTGCGCAACTAAGACAATGCAGGTCTTGAAGCGGGCACAAACGCTGCGCAACTTAAGAGATCATAAGAGCACCGCCCGCGGAGGAACCGCAGACACGGCGCCGCAAACACGCAGGCCTCACGAGACGAAAAGGCATGACATGCAAGGCCGTAGTCTCAAGGTTCTCCCTGTTCGCTGACCGTCAGCAGCGTAGGCCGCGCACCTCGCCTTGAGCATCAGCACCATGTTGTGGTGCCACCAACCCGCAGCTTATTCGTGCAACTTGCAAGGACTCGAGAGCTCTGCCGCGACAACCCTTTCGTGCGCTGGCCGCAATCGAGCTCCAGCATCTCACCAGTCGAGTCATCCATTTTTCTAAAGCTCGTCGACCAACATACGTCCAGTATTCCCGATCCAGCATGGCGCGTTCCATCCGTCAGGCCCCATCTGCCCACTTTACAGTCGCCGGCTTCTTGGGTCCTTGCCTTAGCTGCCCTACCGGGACTATCATCCGGCGAGCTATTGGCAAGTGCTGCTGTTCCTGTTAGCAAACACCACATCGATCCCGGCGGCCAGCCTAGCTCGGGCGACCAAGCATGCCCCGCGGAAAACTGCGAGGAGCCAGGGCGATCGCTGATGATGCTCGGGCAACAACGGCAATTCTCAACTCTGCCGAGAATTCGCATGTCAACCGACAGACGCGTCGGATTATCGGATCACACGCGAGTGCGCCAGTCTTGGCTGCGTCTGGTCGGAAAGCCTTCGACTATCATCTCACCCATCTTCAAGCTGACATCACCAGCCACATCTAGGGACCCGAAGTGGGATGGGAAGCACAACTTGGAGCCTCTGTCGACTGCCGGACTCTAGGTACTATCCGCCGCTGGCCTGGTTACCATGTTCGCGGCTCGTCCACAAAGTTTGGCGCCCACACCAAATCAAGTTTTGTACATCGTCCGCTCCTGGTTCACCTCACTGGTTGGACGCGTTCCTGTACACCAAGGATTTTAGACTGCAGCATCATGCGTTTCTTCATTGGTCGGCTCCCGTGAGCTGCAGATCCTTGGCCAAGTGCCACGACCTGGACACGAGCCCTCCTCTACACACATCAAGCACGGTTCTCTGTCCAACGACGGAAATCTTTGTACCTCACTCCAACTGCCTCATGCCTAGCTGGCAAGTCTATCAGGCATCTGCAGCTAGAAAAGACTTGACAGCTTCGGCTTATTGCTATCAAAAATACGAACGAGCCGCGTCCC